CCCCCCCCCCCCCCCCCTCCACCTACGCCGCTCACTTGGCAAACCGCAGTAGCAGTTCGTTCACCATCTCGACGGGTCTACGCAGATTGCGGTCGTCGAGCTCCTTCTTCCCAAACAAGAGGTTCAGATACATCAACTCCCCAGAGGTGCTGAGAACGCCCCTGTTAACGTTGTTAGCACGGCAACACCAGCACGATTAGCAACAGTACGGCGAGTGGAAGATATGGCAGGAGGGAAGGGACGGGGGTAAGGTGGGTGGGTGTGTCTGGGGGTAGGGTCAGGGGCAGGGGGGTGTACTCATGTACACGCATGCCGTAGTCGTTAGACCATCAACCTCGCATCCCCACAATGCGGGGGAAGGGGCGATCGTGGAGAAAACCAATAATCCACAGAGACCCCAGCGACGATTTGAGCGGAATCCTACGGCAAGACACTAGTGCATATACATACTGCTTTCAATATACGCTGGAACAGGGCGGTATGACAGCGCGCTTTGGTCCTAGGTGCTCTGTATTGAGTTACCCTGGAAAAGCGATGACAACACGCTTTGGTCCCAGGTGATGCAGATCGCTAAGTAGCGAAAGCTTTCCAAGAAACCAACTTTACACCATCGTGAGGTGCCGTACGAGTTGCTCGCCCAAGTTCACGGACGTCCGTGGTAGCATTGCTTGCTAGGGTATGTCAACCGTGAACGCCCCTAAATCTGGTTGAAAACCGCCGTGCTGGCGGAAGGACACATCTATCGGTGAGGTGGATAGAACAAAACACCAGTGGCGGAATATTAAAACATCTGAATCTGTATCTCTTCGACATTTCGACGTCGCTTCGCTGCCACTCTGTCGTTTGCTGTGTGCTCTTGCTTCTCTTTACCAAGTGTTGAGAGAACCTCCGAGCTTGTTCTTAAAGCTGTGTCGAACGACTCGTGGCCGAGTAATCATCCCGCACGAAACTAACGAAGGATACGCCGCGTTCGGAATTACTCCTTTGGGCAAGCAAGTTTGAGTTTGCTTCAGTCGCCGAGCACAGCAACCTTCACTGCTGTTGTCATCTGTATTTGTTCCTCCGGCGAACGCAAGGTTTTATCGATTACTGTTAATATATTCCAAATCACGCACACGACCCTTGAACGCGATTGTCTCTTACGGGCGGGAATTCGCTGCCAAATCCACGAAGAACGTCCTCTTCGACTGTTACGATGTGTCATCGTCCTTCCCGTCAAAAAACATGGCGCCGTCCGCCGCTGAAAGCACAACCACCGCCTACACGCTCATTGCACCCCTCCCCATATTCCATCCGCAGCAGCGATGATAACCAAAGGCACAATCTCTCTCTTTCTCTCTCTCTCTCTCTCTCTCTCTCGCACGCACCTCGCCGCTGGTCGTCTCCACCACCCGCGCCCCCCAAAACACCACCCCGCTCTCCCACAAAGCAGCAGCCTCCGAAACAAGACCCCCCATCTTCTTCGTCGCGGGGCCCCCGCTGCACGCCGAGCGGCTGCACGGGCCACCGGCGCACCACCGACGGTCCCCGAAACGGCACTAATCCCATCGCCGTCGCTGCTGGGGCTGCTGCCACCGGGATCCGAGAAGTTCATGCCGGCGTTATTAGGCCGGGGGGACCGGGGATGTGCCGTGGCCGCCTGGCTAGCGCCAAGGGGCACGGAGAAGATCACCCGCAGTCCAAACTCCTTGGTCTGCCGCAGGTGCTCGAAGGCGTGTGCCGACATCATGTACACGTTCCCCTGGTATTTTTTTTGGGGGGGGGGGCGACGCGCGCTTGATTATTCGCGTCATTGACTATATATCCCTTTTCAGGCTAAGGATGACGCGCGGGGGGGGAGTACCTGCCAGAGCGTTAACCATCGAGGAAATCGCTCCAGACGGAGAGGAAGAGGCCAAGGAGGGAGCCGTGATGGAGGAGGGGAAAAACAGCTCTTCCCACAGACCAGCGGGCAGGAACAACAACACGGGATGTCAGCGTGCCCGGGCTGCAGTCGATCGAAATGTCGGAAAAAAACGGTGGTAAGTGTCAAAGTTTCTCCCTCCCTGCGTGTGGCGAATGCACATCTTGCAAGAAAACTTTTGCTACTTCTACCATATGCGATATATGTACCAATTCAGTCGATCAAAAGCCGAAAACACAGGGTGGTGCGTGTAAAAGTCTTCTCACTCCCTGGGTGCGGCGCATGCACATGTCGCCAAAAACCTGTGCTACCGTGTGGGATGTATGTACTGTACCTCGGTGATCTCGACCTTGCTGATGTTCTCCAGGGCGCACGAATAACGAAACACCCCGCAGTGGAATAGGTTCCACCTGTCCAGGGCCATCGCCCCAGAATCCGCGTCAAACTCAACCACCTGTACGGCAGGGTTAGATAGGGGGGGGGGGAAGGATCGGATTAGTTGGAGCGGTTAATAAAGGGGGTTCAACACAAGCATTGATTGGGGGGGCGGGCGTAGTTGTTGGTAGACCATTGACCATCATGGTAAGGGGGATCGAGTTTTTCTCCTCGCCAAATGCCGCAAATATGTGGAGTACTTTAGTTCATGGCAGGGGACCAACACAGCACCCGAGAGCTTGGTGTTGCTCCAGAGCTTGGTGTTGGTGAAGGAGTCGGGCTCCGAAACCTTTGTAACAGCCAGAACAGGGACCAAAGGCGGCTGTGTCGTGTATATCGAGCCTACGCTTCCAGCTTCAACAGAGTGTCAGACGGCCGCACACGAAACGACACTACAGGTAGCAGTACCCTCGCGAAAACCACAGCAGTGGAGCAGTGGTTGGTCCCTACAAGGCCGCATAAGCATAGGCAGGAAAAAATCGCCCTGCAAGGCTGGAAAAAATCGCGTGGTGCCGCAGATGGTACACTCAAGTTATCTCATACTCGGAGTAGTGCTGGCCGGTGCTCGGAATAGAAGGCAGGCCAAATCCCTAAGCACTACTATGCAGCCTTCCATGGGAATGACCGCTACTGCCTGAGCTTCTTCGTGCGTCAGCGCATAGGGGGCTCGGCATCGATGCGGGGGCATCATACCACCCCACAGTAAGGAAAACCACACCAAACACAACAGTGCGACCGTGATTGTTTTGCGTAGAAACGTGCTCCCACCGAAAGTGGGTGACGAACACGAGAGCCAGTCTCTCGCACCACGAAATTCTCTCTGATTTTCGAGTTTCTTCACCTACGTATTTACATCGGCATGGCTGACTTCGAGCGCAGAAGGGGGGGGGGGCGGGGGGGGCGACTCATGTTTTGCATGCCTTAGCTGTGACTAAACCAATGACCACGCGTCCTCGAGAGGACGGTGCATTGTTCCAACACGGAAGGGGGGGGTTCAAAAGGGGCAGACTTCCAATTTGCTTGTGCATGCAGAGTG